ACACACACATACACACACACACACACACACACACACACACACACACACACACACGCACACACACACACACACACACATACACATGCACATACATTCTCCTATCTATTGATGGGGAGTGCCACCTGCTGGAAACTGGGTCCAGCGTCCCATGAACATCGTGAATAAGGCATCAACCGGGACCCCCCACACACACACTCTTCGAGTTGTGTATAGCGAACATGACAAAACATACATACAACATATTCACTACCTTACCCTTCCCGAACCACATAAACAAACGAACTACGGGCTGCGCACCCGTGCCCTCACGGCAAGTCAATTTCTATTTCGACCACAACAGGCTTCGAATTCAAACCACCACTTTACCCGACGTTGGAAATTCGGGGGACTGGTAACGCAGGTCCATGAGGGCTACCAATAGCACAGAGTGGAGAACCGACAGAGTGGTGAATATGGAAAATGGAATGAATTTGCGCTATAAGCTATTTCGCGGTTGAGACAGTTTTTTTAATTGTTTTAAACATTTTTCCTGAAAAGATCATGACCAAATATACAGACCCACAATTTCTCAGACTTGTTTACGAGTTCTTCTGAGCGTGACAAATCTTTGAAATAAGGGTACTTTTCCCGTTGGCCCACAAGTTGTCGTGTGCCGAAAATGGAAAAAGTGACGAATTGGCGCGACATTTATTTAATGGTCTAAACAATTTTATTTTATTTTGTTGATATTTTTCCTGGAAAGATGACGACCTGGCCTACCCGATATCAAAATTTCAGATCTTTTCTCCAATTATTATGCGTACAAAAAATCGCCAAAGGCTTGGACCCCACTGCTCGGTGGTTGGAAAACTTGTTGGGCCACGAAAAACGGCCAACGCCGTCTGGATACCCATTTCCAGAAAAAGTCGAGACCCCACCGCCACGGCCTTGCCGGCCTCTTGGAAAATGACTTTCATTCCCGAAAAGGAAATATGGGCAGGTCCCCTCCCAAAATGGAAAGTGTGGTGAACCAGTGGTCCAGCTCCTTGAACCAGCGGCAGAAGTGCGGGACGCCGTGGTCGCATCGCGACCGACATGCCGTGGAACTGTGTGGCGCTGTCCCCTGGTGGTACATGGTGCCCTGAGTGTGAAACTAGCCGTTGAGGAGGCTCCCGACGGCGTTTTCAAATTCGTTTTCGATGAAATGCGGTCCGTTATTTGGATGTGACACCTGCATCGAGGAGAGCGCCGTGGTGATGTGACCACTTCAGAGGGCATTCGGGAACTGCGTCCATTCGCTCCATATCCGGGGGGGAGAGGTGTGCTTGTGTGGGAGGCGTGTGGGAGGCGTGTGGCGGCCCGTCGTGTGGTGGTTTGCAAACTGCAGGTAATAGAGGAGATGGACAGTCCGGTTCCATCTGCAAGTTCTTCACAGGAGTGGGAAGACATGCTCTTCTTCTTGGTTTTCGCCATAACCCAGTGGGTGCATAGGCGCAATGCGGTGGCCATGGCCGTCCTCGAGGCTGTCGCATTCACCCCGTTCCTGTTCGGGGACGCGGCGACGTCATTGATGCTCCTTGCAGGCGGGATGATGCACGGATTTGCTCTCGCCAGTTTGGCTGCGGAGGAGTTGGGAAGACGCATGGAGCGCCGACGACGGATATGGGTCGTGGAACGAAGCGGGGGTGTGTGCAGGGATTTGCAGCGAGTTGGCCGTAAGCACGACAAGGTGTTTGTCCGATTCTGCAGACTGCCTCGCCCGCTATTCTTCAAAGTGCTGGGTAGAATTGCACCCCATATCCAGCGAGCCCCAACGAACTTCAGGAATCCTATTCCTGCTGGTCAAAAGTTCGCCATGACTCTCATTAGGTGGGCGACCAGCGGGTATTACCGGCAGACCTCGCATGGCATGGGCATGGGCCTTGCGAGTGCCTTGCGTTGCAACGAAGAGGTCGCGGATGCTATCATCAGCGAGTATGGCCATCTCCTTCGGTGGCCGATTGGCCCTCGAATGCAGGAAGTGGAGAACGCTTTCGAGGCGAAAGGGTTCGCCGGTTGCATCGGTGCAATTGATGGCACCCATTTGTACATCGACAAACCGAAGGGTATGCGCGGGGAATGCTACTACCATCACACAGGACAATTCTCTGTCCAGTGTCAGGTAGTTTGTGACCACGAGTGCAGAATCACTAGTGTTTACGTGGGGTGCCCAGGGTCTGTGCATGACTCGAGAGTTTTGCGCATTTTAGAACTGTTCCGTCAAGTCTCGCAAGGGGCACGTGTTTTCAGCGAGGGAGGTGCACACCTGCACGACGGCAGACACGTGGGACGGTATGTGCTTGGTGATCAAGGTTACCCTCTCCTGCCATGGATCATGACACCTGTCGGGAGGACGGCTACAACAGCTCAGGAACGAACCTACGACAATTGTCACTCGGCGGTGCGGTCTTGCATCGAGTGCTGCTTCGGCCAACTGAAGGCCGTGTGGAGGAATTTCATCCGACCGCACATCAGCAACATGAAAACCATTTGCAAGAAAGTGATGGCAATCTGCATCCTCCACAACCTGATGATCGAGCACAGGGTGGAATTTGACCCTGGTGTGCTCGATAGTGGCAGCGATAGCGATGGTGACGACGGTCATCGCAGACGCCGTCGTCGGCGGAGAGATCGTCGTCGTTTTGTTCGTCACATGCCCGACCTCAACGTTGAGCCCGTGGTGGACGATGACCCTACAAACGGGTCCCGCGCTAGGGGAGTTGGTTCGCAGGAGTCTGATCGAGCATGTGGACCACCACGTGGCGGTTCATGGTGCGCCGCCGCCATGTCCGTGGCGATAGTTGACGACGTGGAAGACATGCCACGTAGGATTTAGGGATAGCGGCAGGGAGTGGCAGCAGGAGCGGGTCCGGCGTCGGGTCGGATTGGTGGTTCATAGGCTTCCAGGTTTGTGTGCGAGATTGTCATAGTTCCAGTGAAATTCAGTGATGGAAAAAAACACGTTCTCGTTCTCTCTTTCTTTCTCTCTCTCTCTCTCACTCTCTCTCACTTTCTCACTCTCTCTCTCTCTCTCTCTCTCTCTCTATATATATATATATATATAGATCGTCACAMACATATATATATATATATATATATATATATATATATATATATATATATATATATATATATATATATATATATATATATATCGTCATATATATATGCAACATTAAGGGGGTATGGCGGAATTGGTATACGCTACGGACTTAAAAATAAATTAGAATTGCGCCTTTTTAAGAATATATATATATTCATATATATACATGTACAATAAAGAAAACATATAATATGAGTTTGTGTGTACACCCATGCACAAAACTGGCTCCAACCACGAACAAACAAAAAAAAGAAAGTCAATGCCACCTTCATCACCCAGCCTGTCAAATGTATTGGCACAAGGAACGCTCAAGAGCAGAAAAAGAAATGAAATGGCCAACATATACCAGAAGGAGATGAGATGAGAGACAACATTCGGAATTCAAAAGGACCGCATTCATAAAAGTGGCACACGTGTTGCATTCGTTGAAACAACCTCCATCTCAACAATTTACATTGGCGAGAAGTTGCATGTCACTGTCCCGATTGCGATGCACACTCTGCACGGACGTTGTCCATGGACTCCATACGAGAATGAAGCGCCGATGATGATGTCGGTGATGGTTGGGACGGCAATGATGATTGTGTCGACGAAGATGATGAAGACGAGTTCGATGACGACGGCGATGATGATGGTGATGACGAAGTATCGTCATCATCATCATCATCGCCGYCGTCATATAACTCGTCATCATCATCATCGTCGACGCCATCATCTCCCACGTCCCAACCACCGCCGACATCACGACCGGCGGTTCCTTTCGCCACGGTCTCGCCCGATGGATCCCACTACTTACATGACATGTTCCCCCCCCCAAAAAAAAAAATGCAATCCACAAAGAATCACCACCAAGAACACCGCTGCAGACATGTCATCATCATCATGTTAATGGCCGCCGTCATATAACTCGTCATCATCATCATCGTCGCCGTCATATAACTCGTAGTCATCATCATCGTCGCCAACAACACCGCTGTAGACATGTCACAACACCGCTGCAGACGAAATCATCCTATCTGCCCCTTCGCTGGGGCACTACATCGAAACAGGCATTGATTGTGCCTCGAACCTTCTCTCCCAAACACTACTGCGAAACAACGACTGTTAAACCGATCCCGGAATCGCAACACACGGAACGACCCCACCCAGCGACCGAATGTCGCCACCGCACTCACATCGACACACATCACCGACAGTTAACGTCCGTGGCGATCACCATTTACGGACACGAAGGTCATCCTCAGGCACCCATGTATCCACCAGGCCGTGCAAGTACCCCCTGCCCTCCAGAGGGCGGTCGAAGATGGTGTCATACCAAGGCGTGTCGTCCATGCGGTTCTCAAACTCTTCGGCGATGGCGGACACAAGGTACTTGATGGTGTCCCCCACCGCGTCCCGGTGGGGACCTTCCCATCTGTTTGGCACCATCTCATGCCTCTTCGTCACGAACAGGAGGACGTGGCTCAAAGCGCCATCGCTGTCAAACCCCAATCCAGCCGTGATGTCCATCGCATGGACATCGTTGACGCGCACGTCATACACACGGGTGTCGTGACGTGTGACAACATTGTAGAAAACCATGTCACACCCGTGACGCCTGTTGCGTTTGTCTTGAAGCTCTGCGATGATCACATCGCGGCCGCAGACCCACTTCCACATCACAACAACAGGAGCCATTCTCTCTTTCTTTCTCTCTCTCTCTCTCTCTCTCTCTCTCTCTCTCTCTCTCTCTCTCTCTCTCTCTCTCTCTCTCTCTCTCTCTCGC